AGGCCTATTCTGAGCGTAACCGAAAATTTTGCTATCGAAAACTTTATTAACAAAAATACCCGTTTCAACTTAGTTTACAGCTTACAAATCCGGTTACCCGCGCAGACTAAACCTGTAAATTTCAATCACCTCTCTTAAATTTAGTTTTTAATATCTCTAATCGTGATTTAGGCTAGTCACTAGTGCAGCAAGTTGCATGTGAAGAAAGAGAATTCAAAGCTCAAAAAGCTTAATAACTTTAATAATGGAGACCGTTTTGTTAACATTGCCAATAGAAATATAAAATAAATAAAAAAATATTTGCATTGAAACATAAACAATCGATAACAGTATCAAAAAACGCAAACGATAACATTATCGATAAATAAGAATCGATAAGTTAATCAATAAATAAAGTGGCCTTTAAATTATTTAATTACAAGTGTGAGAAAACTTGCTTTTCCCATTTTTTGAACTTTTATATGTAGTAAATATAATAACAATACAATGTGGAATCTTTTGAACAGCATAAAGAGAAAGCTTAAATGTCGCCCCTTTCCCCAAAAGTTAAAAAACTAGGTTCCACAAACATTAGTCCCGCACACATTATTTATTTAAAAGTACAATGTGGTGAATGCAACCTGAAATATCCCCCTATTTTTTTATCACATCCCACATTAGATCAAATGATTCATTTGGCTGTGCGAAATTCCGATTTCGTAAAGGCAGTTTTACATTATTTTTTGTTGCCGTTAGTTTTTGTAAAATAAAAAACATCGTTATAGCGCAATAAACCAAAGTTACACTTTCAAAACGTTATTGATACATTGTTTGCGCAACCAGTTTATTTTGCAAATTTCAAGTGCATTTTTCTTGTAAAGTTCGAATAAGTAAAGGAAAATTTTACACTGGAAACAAAACTATATCTAAGTGAGAAGCTATGTCCCAATTTAAAAAAGTGAATTTTTATCATTTGTTTGCAAAAAACTGACGTATTTGCATAGCCTCAAAAATTTTTCTGATTTCTTTCCATTTATGTATGATTTTATGTAAGCTTTTACAATTTTGTTAACTTTCGGCAAATAAAATGGAATCGGAAATGGATAAATTAAGATGTAATGAGTTGAATTTATTTTACTTAACCCGCCGTTTTAAGCCGTTTTCAAGAAAAACGGGTTTTTTCTGGGCTATCATGGTATCACAAAAGGCAAGTTGTTTGAAGTTTGGCTGATTGGATGTTCGAAAAAAGAAAAGCTTTTTCGGTTGTCAACCATGTTGAAAAAAATTTGGTCCAGCTGCTATTTGCGAAAGTGCGATGAAACTCTTAGAAGAAAAAGCGCGTCTTTTTTGCAGTTATTTATCAAATAAATATGAAAATTATGGGAAACAATTTGGAAAGGATGCTAACATATTTAGATCTGAAAACATAGCGTTTCTTGCTGACGAAGTTCTTTTCGAAAACAAAAAACCAACTGGATAGCTGACATTTTTCCGAATTTTTAGCTATCTCCAAAAATATCTCCAACATTTTTTGGTGATAAATAATCCATTTTAATGGTAAATAAATAGTGAAAATGGAATACAAATACACTAGCGCCGATGCGCAAAGACCATTGATGGGCAGCTTTCGCAAAAAGGCAAATCCTTGAGAGAATTTACGGACTGAAATTTCGAAATTTCGTATTCTTTTCAGGAAGTTACCATCGATTTTTGGTAAATGTGTCTCACAAAGCAGCATTTGTATTTTGAATATAAATAATATCGGCGGAGAATTTGGATATAATACTGAAACCTAAAGTGAAAATAAAGTGTTTTATGAAGACTAACTGCTTTAGGAATCTCTGCCAAGATTCATATCTGCGAGGCGTGTAGTAAATATTTTTCTTTTTTTAATTTAAGAATTTCAATAATGCGATAATTAATCTCTAGAAGAAACCACTTATGTACATGTGACCATACTTCATAACTTGTGTCAAAACCAAGCTAATTGGGCAATTTTTTTGCATACTACCTAAACACATATACATACATACCCATCATTTGAACATACAAAAAAAGCAGAAGTCTGTTTTTGACGAAAGCCAAGTTATGTTTAACATTTTATTTACCGCCTTTACACTTGTTTTAACGTTTGCCATCTTTTTACATTAAAAGAATGCAATATTTTAGTTGCTATTAATTTCGCACGGAGGAGGTTATCAGTTCGTCGGATTTTTTTATTTTTTTATTTATGTATGTTACCGCATAACTTTGGACCAAGTCAACCGATTTCGATAATTATTTTTGCATCGGAAATGTAGTTTCTCAGAGGTGGTCCCATACTAATCTAGTTTAGATCCGATTATTGGATCAAGAAATATATATTTTTTTATATGAGAATTGAAGTCGGTTTTTTTTGCTAAAAATTACTTGTTTGTAAATTCTGATGCCATCTCATATCTTTTCTAAAATTTTGGAGGCATTTCCTATATATGTAAAAGTAAAATTCCTAGGCCACATACCCAAAAAATTAAAAGTTATTAGGTAATACTTTTTTGGCATCTTTCGGAACAAATGTGGTTAACGAAGCGATATTCTACCGAAATCCGCAATAAAATCTGCGCTTTGCTAACTTTAGTCCTACAATTGCCACGCTCATTTGTATGGGTTTGTCGCCTTAAATAAAAATTTAGCCATACAAATATTATATCTGGATTGGCATTCTATCGGAATCCGCAATAACATTTAAATTTTTGCAAAAAAACCCGATTTTTAATACCTTACTAAATATATCCAGCATAAGTTTTCGAAAACAAATTACAAAAAATTCTTGACACACACAAAAAAAACCGCTCGTCATAAAACAAAATATTTTAAAAACAATTCTTGAAAAACGTCCACTTTTTTGGACAATGTTTTTTTTTTATAAAGAATTAAGCAATGATTACGATGGTGGAATTTTAAATCCCTAATTTACTGGTCTTCACAATGCAAAGCAACTTCAAAAAGCTTTAGGACAATATTGACGGTTTTATATATAAAAATGTTAAGCTCGTTTCTTTAGCTTTAAAACGACGTTAAGGGGAAGTCTCTACGATGAGCAGAACCCGAGATATCTCCGAAGAAAAAATTAAAGAAACGAATTCCTCGAATACGTGTTAGCTTATTTCATATATAGAACCGATAAAAAAACTTCAAGCGAATCGGGGACATGATATTATTTTTTTTTAAGAAATCCGTCCGGTTTAAAAAATTTGTTCCGATGAATTCATAATCTTCCAGTATTTTTTGAAGTCGGCTAAGAATCATATAGATTAACGGTTTATTTAGGGCATTTCGTAATTTTTTAAGATAATTTTATACTAGGTGTTGAGGCATTAGAATCCGAACCTTATAATAAGTGACCTCAAAAAAGGCATTAAAATTTTTCATTCTGATCCATATTCATTATCTCCCACCTTTTCCAAAGAAAAATCAGTTCTAAAGGTATTTTTGCCCCTCGGTATCAAAATCGTTGCTAGATATTTTCTTCATACGACTTACATATATTCCACTCAATATTGTTTAGTCACAGCGTGCTCAGTGAAAAAACTTCTACTACAATGACAATGGCTAAAAATAAACGCAGTGACTTCTTTTCTTCATCGCACAGCTAAGCTGCTGTGCAATGTTAAAGTGCCACGATAGTAATTAAACTTTGCCGCTTTGAACTGAATTGCAGTCAGCCAACAATGCGTGGCCTTAGACCAGCTATGTGGCCATGTAATCGCGTAGTCACTGAGCCAGCCACCGCAACATCCAACTCACGGCGCGCAGACTCGCATTGTCTGCACATGCCTGTTTACATATTTTTCTTTGCATTCGCGCTTATTCTTCTTTCTTTCTATTTCTTTTTTTTTTTCTTTTGATATTTTCGCATACTCACAGTATTTGTTTTCATTTAAGTTAATAAATATTGGCAATGCGCGCAATGTTTGTGCGAATATTTGCATTGCAGTTGTTTGTTTGCATCTTTCATGTCATGCCATTAAAATCCCTTTCAAGCGCGCGTGTGTGTGTGTGTGCGTGTGTGTTTTGTAAGTGCTAGTCTGCAGCTTGCTTCTTGCGTTATTTGCGAACAAACAATCGCTTGGTTGCAGCGACGGCCGTTAGCCATTCGCGCTTCATTGCAATTTTACGAGTTTGTTGCTTAAGTCTTTCGTTTGTACTTTTGAATTGCGTTCAAGCGAGCAAAAATCGTAAGTGCTGCTATTTTGAGTTACCAATGTGCAACTTTATTCTTGTGTGCATATGTGTTGTGCTTGTATTGCCTCAAGCACAAAAATTCAATATCAAATTGACAATCAGCAACAACAGCGAAAACCAAATGGCATTGCTCCGTCGACTGCGAAAAAATACGCTTAACCGGCAACAGAAGCAGAAAATAGTAAACAGCTTCGACTACGTACAGCTTAAGCTGGAGCAATGAATTGTAATGGCGCGCCTTGAATTGATTGCTCGCCAACGCCCGCTGCCACCTATGGTGCTATTAGCCAATTATGCGCTCGTTTGCTCGCTCGTCAAGCACGAAGCGATTGGCGGTGGTGGTGGCGCTGCTGCTTCGCCACTCGTTATTGCACATTAAAGCGCGCCAGCTGATCAAAGCTTGGCGAGCAACGACTTCCTTCTTCGCTACTCGCTTATGATGGTTATGCCAATGCCTGCTGAGCGCCGCTGCTGACTGCTGAGATAGTGCAGCGCAAAACTGCTTCGGCTGCTGCGAATTTCACAGCTTCACCAACATTGCTAACTGCTGCTGCTACGTTGGCCCTCTGCCGCTGCTGTGCACTGGTTATTGGCACCTACAGTTTGCTAGCAGCCAGCCAGTCAGCCTCTAACCTACAGTCCGCTTGAACGTTTCAGTCTTCAATCTTCAGTTCGCCAGTACGCCAGTTTACCAGTCGTTACTCGCCGCCGCTATACATATATACATATATAGTAAGTCCACAGTTTGTTGTTCACTTGAAAAGTCTATGATTTTTATAGCCTGCTTTGTTGCTGGCTGCGGGGCTGCGGCCTCCAAAGTGGACTCTTCAGCGCTCTGAACGCTCATCATTTTGCCATTTCTTGTTCGGCTGGCAACGAAACCAAAAGTGATTGTTAAGTGCGCGCATAACCGTGAAGTGTGTCAGTGCCTGCTTGCCTGTCAATTCACTAGTCAGTCATCGTTCTGCCAATAGCGCGACCTGTACCCAGTTATATTGCCGTTAGTTTTGTATTTTTTTTGCTTTACACAATTTTTTTTTTTTTTTTTTAATCTCTATTGAGTGAGTGTTACCTTGGAATGCAAAGTCCATTGGCGGCGAGAAGGTAGCAGCAGCAGCTGCAGCAGCAACAGTTACACACAAAGCAATTGTGTTGTGATTTTTTTTTTCGAATTTTTTGCCATTGGACTTTAAAATTTTCGGTTTTACAAAATTTCCACAACTTTAATTTTTGCTTTATTTTCCAACTGTGAGCGTGTACAAAAGGCTAAACATAAACAGTTATTGAACGCTATTTAGTAAAAAAAAACACGATTGCCTTGCAGCAGCAGCCGATTTTGTGTGGCGTGTGCGCTTTGAAATTTTAATGCAATCAAAATCGACTCCAAATTTTTATAAGCTACATCCACACGTTTGTATAGCGCGCTAGCTGCAATAAAATCGAAAAAATAAAATTGCATATTTGCTAACTTAAAAAAAAACAAAAAAAAAACAATTTTTGCACTTATAATTTTTTTTTTTTAAGTGAAAAGTGAAAGTCGCAAAACTATTAAATAAAATATTTGACGGTTAAACAATACAATCAGCGGACAAATAGACGTACAAATAAATAATAAATAAATAAAAAAAAAAAACAAAGTACCGTTAAGTGTGCATGAACTCTAATATATACATATGTACATGTGTGTGTTTTTTTGTTTGCATGAAAAAAAAATATAAAATCTTTACATTTTATTTTGCTTGCAACTGCAGGTGTTCACTTTCGATTGCGGCCCGTATTGATACGAATATTGAATATTGAACAGCGAAAGGAGTTGATCATCAAATATTCAGTGCACAAAATTTTAGAAAAATAAGCAAATATGCTGTTAAAAATGTAAGTATACCACTTGAATTGCATCGCTACATACATATATATATATATAAGTGTGCATAAATATGTGCATATAAGTTTTTATAATAGCGTGAGAAGGAATTTACTAATGTATGTACATATATCTTTACATAAAAAGTGGGGGTAACTTTCAGCGAAAATAAAAGCTTAAATTTTAAATCGTCAAAATAACCCTTTTTATACTGTCGTTTAAAGTACAAAACCGCATATGAGAGTAAGGCAAAACCGAGTACGTGAGGTTGCCGAAATTTTTGCAGGAAATAGTAAAAACTGTCCTATATATCAAAACCGATCTCACTTTTATGCAAGTAATTTTTACGCAAAAAACAAAACTGACTTCTGTTCTCATATAAAAATTATGAGTACCGTTATGTTTTTCATAATCCAATGCTCGGATTTTAACCAAATTAGTGTGGGATCAAGTTTCCGACAAAGAAAAAGAATTATCGAAATCGGTTTGACGAGGTTCAAAGTTATGCGGTAACATACATACAAAAATAAGCCGACGAATTGATAACCTCTTCCTTATTTTGAGGTCAGTTAAAAAAAAAAAATCCTTATCAAGCTAATTCTACATATTGATATTTGCGTATGAATCGATAAGGCTTGATGCTAGGTACTTCCGATGAGAAAAACACATATTTGGTATAAATGTGAGTTACGCGGTTGTGTACTTTAAACGACAATATGTATTTACGTAAGACTGGTTTCCTCTGTTTAGATATCTCAGTTAGGCTGCCTACTGAATGAACAACACTTCCGCTTGATATGTACGGCAGTGGACGGGGAGGTGAAACGTCTCTCTGGCCAGCGGTTTTCTCAAACGATCAGCCGGTTTCTTTAAATCTTGCTGCGTAATAAGTGCAACCTCTCGAGTAATTAGATCAAGTGTAAGGACATAGACTAAAGGTCGAATTTAGGGCATCTGAGAGCGAAAAGAAAAGAGCCCCGCAAATAAAGATTTCTGCGTTCCTTTGTATTTTCAATTCCCACCTTTAGCATCTGGGAAAATTTTTAATCAACTGTATATGAAAAAACGACTCCTTCTTGTATAATATAAGAGTTAAGAATATAGTGTTCACCTACGGCATCATCAACAAAGATAAAGTAAAAAACTTCCGAAAGGGTGAATCCATATCGCTGTTTTGGCGAATGGTAAGAGAAAACTCGTGAATTTAGCTGCAGTTTTACCTGTATCGGTGCATAAAATGAGACTTTAGGCTCAATTAAGTACTAACCTTTTAGCATTCTGATAAGATTTTAACACTGAAAAATTAGAGTTTTAAAAACGAATGCATCAGAGGGGAAAGTGAATGAGGCGGACATTCCGCAAGAGAAAACCGCACCGTCAATCGGCATTACATTTTATGTATACTCAAGGCCTAATCCGCAAAAGTGGAATTCGTAAATGAAGGCATGTTTTATCATTTTCCAAAAATGGAACGTTTTCAAAAAATCATTCTTTCGCACTGAAAAATATTTCGGAAATTTCCACATAGGTTACTCCATTCAAGAAGGAGTCCATGAACTTTTGATACGTGCGTCTCTACTTGTGGTGAAATTTTAAAACGTTTATAGAAAAACACAACTGGGTCGCTGAAGTGTAGATAACCCAACCTGAGGTTTATCAGCTCAATATTGTCTCGTGAAACTAGTGTTGTTCCGTGAGTTTTTAGGTAAAATATTGACCCTTGATTGAGCTTTGCCCGTAGTGCATATACTTTTTAAAGTTTTCAAGATTTGGATGGCTTTAAAAAAAAAATATTTTGGAAAAAAAATTGGATTTCGATATCAAATTTCTTACTCCAAAATTTAGGTGGCAAACCTATCCCGAAATACGCTGGAATGAATGGTACATATCTTGAGCGTATATGTACTGCGTATACATAAAAAAAGCTGATTGAAATTAACAAAATACAAATTTTTATTACATAGAAGCGTGGCAACCCTAATGGAAAATGTTTTCTGCCCAAAGTTCTCAGCAACACCTTTCATTTGATATCCATATTGCGATGTTGTAGATAAAGAGCACAGAAAAGTGCTTGTCAATAAACCCACCGAAGTCCATAATTGTCACATTTAGCAAAAGGACCAAAGTCAACTCTTACTCTGGCATTCAGAGCGCAGGCCTACTCACTAATAGTGACTTCTCGTGGTGAACATCGATTTTGCGATTATTTGGTATTCGGTAAGGTTTCTTAGGTCTCTAGTCTAGAAAAAATGCCACTAATTTTTCAGCTGGCTCTGAGCAGGTTCCAAAAAGAACCACAAAAAATTTAAAAATTTTGATTGAAAAAAAAAAAACGCGGAAGTGCAGAGTGACAATATTTTTTAACAATAATTTCATTAAAAAATAAACCAAAATTCATACTGAAATATCATACAACTTCCTTTGAAAAAAATATATATTTTTAAAACATAAAAAACAATTAAATTTAAAAAAGCAAAATACATGTTTGTTTTCACCACACATTTTTGGTAAACTTTTTGTGACTCTCTCTTATTGAATATCCAATTATTTTCAAGTCAAAAAAAGAGTCACTAATTGCTATTCTCAAATTGGATGATTTGCGATGAGATTGCCTCACTGAATCTCAGCATTATTTTCAGCAACATGAAAACCATTTGACTTTGACCGATTCTTGTGAAAAAGTTATATGCACTTATAAAAAAAAACTCAATTTTCCATATTTCGGTATTTAGCTAAGAAACTGCATTACTACTTTTCCAAAAAAAAAATTTAAAAATGCCTTTTTCTAAGAATAAACCAAATCTCAACCAAATGCCGACATATAAATGGTCGCCGCACATACAGTTGTAGGCGATAAAGTTATAATTTTGCAGGAATAGGAAAATGAATAGTTTAGTCAGGTAATCTGATTTGGTTTTCTACTTTCTATAGGACTCCTCAAGAAACTTGCCTTCAAAGAATAAAAACTATGTACTTATGAACACACATGTATGAAGTTATATCTTTAAAGTTAAGAAAACCATTTTTGAGGAGTGTTTCGCTTACAACTTCATTCTCTACATCTATTTTTTATGAATATATTATATGAATGAAAATAAATTTGCCATGTCGATGCAAAGCGCACGGCATGCACAAGAAATGTATCCACTTATTTTTAGATTTTGTTGTTCAGTTGAAACCATTTTTGTTGTACAAATAAGTTAATCAGAAATTCAATAGACCGATAAAAAAAATGTGGTAAACATTTTCCTAACTAAGTGCGAAAATAAAAATAAACAAAATCATTACGTTTAATTACCTCACACAACACTTTAAAATTTATAATTAATATTTTTGCTTAATGTTGGAAATATCGCGCACATTCAATGCAATCCATTCAAAGCAAAAGTGCTTAAAGCCAACAAGAATGCATTTCATTTTTCATGAAGTTTGCCTTCAACACCATCACTGCGCGCTGCGTATCTTTCTCAATGCATTTTTTATTTTATTTTATTTTTACCAAGCAAAAACTAGTTTGGCAAGCCATACTCAGTCAAATTTATGTGCATATGCCAGTACACTAAGAGTACAATGCCTGTAGCTATGTAGGCACATTAAGACATACATATATATGTATAGTACATATGAACTATGAAAGTGTGTGCGCATTGAAGCGCGGGTGTTTGCCCCGGGCGAAAAATGCATGAATTATGGGTGCGTTTATTCCCACATAATTGTGAATTTTCAGCCAGCTTTTATACATACATACAAACATATGTATTACCGCTAAATTTTCAGACAATGACTGACTGGCATATGTATCAACATTAGGGTGGCGAAAAATGCATGTGAAAAAGTAAAGTCGGAACTTTTATGCTCTCACCGAAAAAAATATACCCGGATTCCTAGTAATAATACCCAATTGTCTATTTAACCATTTTTTCATTGCAACTATAATTTATAGGTCTGCCAAAAACCCACAAAAACCCCAAAAAATGCAATGGGGCAACAAATAAAAAATCGTTAGTATTAAAAAATTATTAAATAGACAATTGGGTATTATTATTATTGAAAGTCTCCTGAAGAGAACCAGAGCTTTCCAATCGAAAAATATTGACTTTCAAGAATTCTATACCATTTCTATGAAAAAATTAATTTTTTCCATATCAAAATACATGGAAAAAATAGGGGTACACTTTTTTCGATATAGAACAATACTAGGGGGTGAGATCATTAAGATTCAGACTTAACTGTTTTTGGACCACCCTACTCAACATAACGAGTGCGCTTAATGTATGTATGCATGTATGTACATTAGATTGCATGACTCATAAATTACGTTAGCATTAGTTAAATTTGCGCAAATTACTTGTTTAACTGAGCATGAATGTTAGGTATAGCTAACTCCTTATTTTGATTAGCCCAAAGAAAACGGTAAACATACGAGTATATTAGTGCAGAAAATTTCGAATGTTCATGTAATCGGTAAAGTCGTTAACGTACATATGTAGATATATCTAAAAGTACGTACATACATAAATGCGTATGTAACTACGGTTGCTCATTTATTTTCATCTTGTTTGATATTACATTTTACTGGAAATCCCACACAGTATCTACAACGAAACACCCAAACCCCTAGACGCGAAATTTCACGCCAACTCACCTATTTATTTATGTACATCTGTTATAATCCATTACAAACTTCCGAATTTTTAAGTGATGCGCTACTTCATGTCAAAACCATAACAACAACAAAAACAACAACAACAAGCCACAACTCAATTAAAACATACAAATGTAAATAAACAAATGAAATTTACTCATAAAAGAGATTATGCTTGCAATTAAATAAATGGAGAAAAAATTTCACGTCAATTAACGAAAGCAAACAAGAAACCGTTTGTGTGCGATTACAAAAATTTGCTTTTAATTTATTTAATTTTTTTCGTAATTTTTTATTTTAACCACAATTGAGAGCTTATGATCTCATACTCAAATATTTTGATTACACTTTGCAGTGGCTTAAGTG